AAGGTCTGTGTGCAGCACAGCCCGGAGCCGCGGAAGAGGAAATTTGGTAATGGAGCCCGAAGTGCTGCGGATTCTGCCCCTCCCGGCCGGTCTGTGGGGGTCTGAGCTTGGGAGAGGCCGGTCTCCACAGGGTGCTTGGCCTGGGGGAGTTGCGTGGTGCTGTTTTTTAAGGAAAAACAGTTTCTGCTGAGACACGAGGGTCCTGAGTGTTTCTGTACAGCTGGTGATGGGAGGTGGAGAACCAGGACTTTACGGCAGTGTCCAAGGCGTGTTTGGCAATATTCAAATAAATCCTAAAATATGTACATTTCTGAAGAGGAAGATATGCCACTTTAGCTTTAGTTGAACTTTAATCTTCAGTAATAATTGAATAGCATGAGATGAGAATGTAGCATTGTCCTGCTTTGTGCAATTTGTCTTTGCCTTCTAGTGTCCAAGCCAGGCCAGCCCGAGGATGCTGGCAGACAGCCCAAGAAGAAGAAGAGAAAGAAACCCAGGAAGGAAGCTGAGAAAACAAATGCTCCTTCAGTCAAACAGGCGGGCGCTAACGCAAATAAACCTGCTCCAGGACAGAAAGTAGCCCCTCAGGCCAGCAAATCACCTCCACAGCGTGTTGCACAGAGCAAAAATGAGAGTTTGGTTACAGGTAAGGATACCAGCATTGCCGTGGTCTCGTTAAAGCTGAAGTGGCTGCATTTCAGTTGCTTCACATGTGTATAGTTTGGAAAGCCTTTAAGAAGCTCAGCTGAATTGAAAACATCTTTGCTCATTCCATGTGCCCTAAAAGCCTTTGCATATGTACATAAATTTGTAGCGTCACCACTGGGTGGCTCTCTGGAAACAGGAGCGTTTAGTCTGAATCACAGACTTTTTATGCATTTGGGTAACTAACTTCTGGGAATTACTGTGTGGATGCAGTCTTGTCGTGCTGGGCTGGCTTTCCGTTATGAATCTGAAAAGCCTGATCACAAAGAAAAGAAGTGAAGTCTTTGTTTCCAGTAGCTTGGTGCTTGTTGGGCAGCCAGAGGGCATGCCAGGCCACTATCGCTGGCAGTGTTGAATGATAATATGGATAGAAAAGGGGGAATTCTAAAGAAACCAATGCAATATAAACTCTTGGTTTCCTTAGATTTTCCATTCTTCTGTTCATAGCACCTAAAGAGTTCTCACAGCTTTTCCTGTAGCCATAGAACGTTCTTTTGTCTAGCTAGTGCTGTCTTTTAAGTGTTTTTTATTTTCTTCCTCTCTTCTTCAGGGAACAAAAGTGAACTGGGTTCCTTTTCTTTTTCTGCAATGAATCTCTTGCGTCAGAGACTACACGAGAAGATTAAAAAAGCTTCTGGACAAGTATGAGAACTCTTTAATATGTATCCATACATGTCTTTATGCAATATAAATTCTCCCTAGTCTCCCAGGGAATGTGGCAACAAGACTATGATTTCACAAGGCTCAGTGTTTGAGCTAATTCCATCTCCTAAGGAAGCGCTTGGAGGTATTGCTGGGAGACCTGGATATATTCTGTGGTCTGGAGAAACACGTGAGAAAAAGTAGGGCCTGGCTTGGAGGAAGGCATGCCTCTGGTGATTTTTAGGAAAAAGAAAAGTACCAAGACCCTGAAAGGGAACATAGCTACGGGGTATTGAGAGACAGTAAAGGGTTTGAAATGCTTTTACTGTGTCCAGTATCTGTAAAAGCTCAGCCCATAGGTTTTTGTCACAAGTAATGTGTTTCTTAGGAGAAGTTTGAAATCAGGAACTTGAGGACATCCCACTTTTAATTCTGCTTTATCCCTTTAAGGCTCCTGATTTATGTCCATCCTTCTTCTTAGGATGATACCAAAGAATTATCCCCTGCAGTCCTGGAGAAGAGGCAGCGAAGGAAGTATGAGAGAGAGAGAAAGAAGCGCCGAAGAAAGGAGTTAAAGATGAAAGCAAAAATGGAGAAGAAGGAAGCTGAGGAGGTACCAGTAGAGCCAGAAAGCAAAAAGGAGGAGAGCGTAGCTGAGGTTGTCTTTAACAGGGTCGAAGTCCACCAAGAAAATGAGTTGAGCAAGATCCAGAAGAAGAAAGAGAAGAGGAAATCTGTGAAAGGCAATATCACTCCTCTGACGGGCAAAAACTACAAGCAGCTGCTGAGCAGGCTGGACACCAGGAAGAATAAGCTGGAGGAGCTCAAGGATAAGGACCAGAAGAAAGCTCAGGAGCTAGAGAACAAGATGAAATGGACAAATGCCCTCTATAAGGCAGAGGGCATGAAGATTCGTGACAACGAGGAGCGTCTGAAAGAAGCCCTGAAGCGTAAGGAGAAGCGTAAAGCGCAGCGCCAAAGGCAGTGGGAGAAACGGACAGAAAAAGTGGTGGAGAAGATGCAACAGCGGCAGGAAAAGCGTCGCAAGAACATTCAGAAGAAGAAGAAGGATAGGATAGAGAAGAAGAAAGCCAGGGCCAGGAAGAAAGGCCGGGTCCTGCCAGAGGACTTGAAAAAAGCTGGTTTAATGTGAGAGCAGGGCAGCGCATCCCTGCAGCCTGGGAGTGGTGTTCTGTGGGTGGTCCACGGTGAACTGTCACGGTGGTAGTCCCTCTGCCTGGTGGCCCTGCCTGAAGAAACCAGCCTGTGGTGCAGTTGCTGCTGTGGCTCCGCGGCTTAATTATAAAAATCAGCCTGTTGTATGTTTGTTAATTAAATTTCCTATCCTGAAGAAACGCCTTCCGATTAATTTATTATATTATTATTTTTTTCCTAAAGGAAACGTGCCAGTTGCTGTTGTCTCCTTCCATGAGCTGTTTGGTGCTGGATGTGTCTCCAAACCCTGATGCTCTGTTTGCCATGGGGAGAACCGATTCCCCCTGGATCCACCTCCTGGTGAGGTGGGCGGAGCATTGCCCTGGGGGTGGAGTCCTGAGGGGGCGTGGCTATGCTAGACCCCACCTCCCACGCTGCCATGGTAACGGGGATTGCTGCCTGCCTTGCCTGCTTTCTGTTTCTATGCAGCAAGCTGTTTCCTTCTCAGTCCAGCACCCTCAAACGCTGCTACATCATCACACAGAGGTTTTTAAATCCTCAGGACGCTTTGCCTGCAGCGTTATTAGTGGGTAGTGGAAGCCGTGCGGTGGGTGTGTGGGTTCACCCTTAGGAGAACCTCCTCAAACTGAAATGTTTTATCTCCCCTTGGCCTCTAGCCTGTAAATCGCAATTCTTCTGGAAACAGGCCTGGAAGTCAGCTGTGCTGGGGCCTCATGTGGCCAGTGGGGACTGCGCGGCTGGTTCCAAGCAGGGCAATCTACAAACCGATCTTTGATGATGAGGTAAAAAAAAAAGTAGAAGCCGAATGGGTTAATGATGTTGGTCAGTTGTTTGCTGGCTGATAAAGTGGTGACCTCAAACCAGAGGTCAGTTTCAACCCTTCTGGTTTTTGTTTGCTTTAGTAGAAAATATTTGTGATCTCTTCAGCATATGCTTTCATGGGTGTTCCTGTGTCTTCACTGTGTACCAGGATACATTAGCTGAAGGCAGAATCAGTATAACACAGCGGTAAAAGATAAATTAAGAGCCATGGTAAGCCAGGTTCAGGCATTTCTTACTGCTGTTGACTTTCCTTGTAACCATAAGCTAGGCACAATCCTGCTTGCTTCAGTTTTTCTCTCTGTGGAAAGAGATACCATTTTTCTTTTCCTGTTTTGAAAATAGTCTTGGATGAAAATTTTCATGCATATGCCAAGTAATGTTCATTATTTTACCTTTCTCTTCTGCTGCCTTTCCCCTACTTTTTATCAATTATGCTTTCTGTTCGGTAGGTTGGAAAGAGTTCTAACAATTTTGATTATTGTTCTTTGAAGGTTCAGTTAGTACGCTCTTTGGCTGAAGTAAGGAAGAAGACTAGGTTTTCTGTAAAGAGAGAAAGGCTGGCTTTGGTTAGGGATTCAGAAATTTCTACTGATGCCAAGCTACTGCCGTGTTACCAGCAGAAGTGTGTTGAAAGAACGCCCTACAATGACTCCCCAGAAAAGCCACTGTTGTACAGGTAGAGAACAGAATCATAAAAATCCAATTATGTCTTTGTGAGTATAGATATGAAGTTGTAAGCTTTGCGGTGGGAGCTAGAGACTCCTGAATTCTTGGTCACAGCACTAATGACTTGTAATAGACTCTCTCCTTGCTGGATGTAAATTGAGTATAATGAGCTGCTGCCTGTTAAAGTGCAGATTAACAGGCTAATATTTGCAATGACTTTTCTTTTAAAAAGAAGTTGTATGTCTCTTTTGTTTCAAAGTAATCTAGATAGAAGCCCAGTCTAATATATATTTTTTGAACTACGTTTTAAACTGTGTGAATTGATTACATGATGATGCAGTAACGATTATGTAATGAGCAACAAAAGAAATGAGTGCATCCATCCTTTTCACCCTAACTGTTCTGCTGAATAATGACACCCTTATTCTCAGTTCCCCCAAGGAGATACAGTGCCCCAGCTGATGGAAAGAGCAATGGGCAGATAAAGGCTATTTCCACATTTCTAGCTAGTTTTGACCTAACAGTTCATAGATTTTTATACCTTTTAGAGATAGTATGTATGTATTTGTAGTTTAAACATAATAAATCTAGCGTTTATTGCTTTTATGCCATCATAGCAGATTTGAGGTTGTGATCAACCCAGGCTAGACAATTACTCAGTTCCATTAATCTCAGAAGAAGTAATATTAATTCTTTGAACCATATTCTTTGAAGTTAGAATGATGCTTATGTTCACTTAAATGTTACATTTTGCCAATTAAATTGAATATTATACTGATTGCAGATCTGTACCCTTAACATATTTAGAACAAATCAAAGCTGTATTCTCTTCCTGTTTCAGGGAAGCTACAACATTTCAAAAAGCTTGGAAAGGTGTAGATGAAAAGGCAGCTGAGGAAGTCAGAGCCCTGCCTAATTTTGTCGGTAAAAATTTATTTCCCTTAATGTCAGATATTTTAATTTGCATTTTTAGAAGCCACCATGCATGTAATAGTTTCAGCTGAACAAAGTATAAATTCAATCTCAGAAATGACCTGACACATTTTTTTCGATTTGTAAGTAACTTTGAAGATGGAAGAGTCTACTCATAGGAAAAAATGGTTGTAAAATTGCTGATCAATCACAGCTTGTGTTTATATGGTACATTTTAGTTACGATGGAAGCAGATCTCATTCTTGGAAGTTGCAATTTTTTTGCATCATACCTGAACTTAGTTCATAGCTTCTATGCTTTTATCTTTATGAAAATCCCAAATTAATAAAATCAAAGGAAACTTTAAAATATGCTTCATTATTTTTAACCTACATTTGCATAGATTTCTCTTCCTGTGGAAAGCTGTCACAGACTGTAATAGCTGCACAAACTGCAGAGGTCGCAGTGTGGATTTAGTGATTCATTGTGTATTCTGCAGCAACAGTTCCAAGCTACATCATCCTCATTTTTCTTGGCAGTTCCTGAGGAAACGAGGAGTAATATCTTGGAATGCCTGTCAGAACGCCGGCGAGGCCGTCATGATGAAGCACTAACTTCAATGTATCACGAGCTTGCCTGCATTGCCAGGGTAGGACTGGATTTTGTAATCCAGATAGTCTAGAGTGCTATACTGAGGTCAGGGCCTAGTGTTCAAAAGCCCATCTTCCTTACCTTTTTAGGAGCTGGAACCCTTGGTTTTGGAGTCTGGAAAATTCCTTCTGACAAAACTGATGGAATCTGATAGAAAAATTGAACTTCTGTTTAAAAAGATTGAGTTTGACACTACTGTGGAAGGTTTCTCGATTGAAGTAAGGCAGCTCATACCATAGTCCCATCTTCAGTTATTTGTACCTGGTCTGTGTAACATAGGTTCTTATGTCTTGCTGTAGTTTTAAGATATAAATGCTTGTTTGTTTTGGGGGGTATTTTTGGTTGGTTGGTTTTGGGGGATTTTTCTTATGTTTACTTTTCAGTGAGATTGAGAGTAAATCCTTCTTGCAGGGTTTGGAAGAACTGTGGAACGTCATCCAACAGGAATCCTTGACCGGAAAGAAGTGGGTCAGGGAAATGGATGAAGCCTTAAAAAAGGTTGAATGGAGTCGAGCTGATAAAGTGAGCTGTAGTTTTAGTAGCTGTTAATTAAGTATAATATTATTTGCTTGTAATGATGGATGCAGGGAGTAGCTTGTTTCCACAGGAGTCAGAGGTCTGCCAAGGGGTTCTGTTGTGTAGGCAATTGCTGTCTTTTCACCAGTAGATCATTCTCTCATTTTATACCCACGTAATCAGGAGAAGATACTTCTTTTGCAGTTACAAGGTGGTTGTTTTTTCCACAGTTATCTGTAGTAAAGATACAAGGAATATGTGAGCTGCTTTTAATTCCTCTGCAGTGTTATTTAGCTGAAACTGTCACCAGGTCTAATGGTATTTTGTTGGGATATACCTATTCTGCAGCTGAGAACGTGCACAGGTGTGCCTCAGCTAATATTTTGGTAGGCTGGGCAGAGATGCTCCAGGTTTGTAGACTTCAGCCTGACCTGTAAAAGTCATTGGACATCACAGTAAATGTTTAGATTAATAAATGGACAGTCCATAAATAAGTGTTTGCTGCTTTGTCCTTATAGGCAAACAGAAATTGTCTGTGATACCTGTGTCAGTTTGTCCTCTCTTTCTAATGTAGACATGATGAATAGGTCCAACAGTATCGCCATTAATTTTTCTGTTTGATTAGTTATGAAAAATACCACAAATTACCACATTTGCATAAATTTTGTTTCTGCTTAAAACAACTATTGATGGATTCACTACAGACACCTGAAAGGAAGTTGGTTTGATTTTTAAATTCCGATTGCAGCCTGTCTGCAGAGCACTCCATTATCACAGATATTAAAGAGAAATCAGTTTAGTAGTAACAAAGTGGTTGTTATGAGTGATTAAAAAGATCAGTATTTAAAATATTTAAGACAGATATTTTAAGATTCATCTCTCAATCTGACTTATCAGCCAATTGAATTTATTTTAATGAAAAAAAAAATTGTTTTGTTCATATCATTGCTTAACTTGGAAAACTGACATTTGAGTTATACCATTTTTTTTGTTGTTGTTCTTTATTCTTGTATTGCACAGATAACAGATGTGCTGAGGAAGTATACTGTGATACTGGAGGAAATTGCCTTCTTTTTGCCAGCTGATGTTTATAGGCTCATCAATAATGAGGCCATGGTAAATCTTTCATATTGAGAATCTCTTTTACCTGCGAGAAGATAGCAATCTGAATTTTCCCAGAATGTCTTTTTTTCCAACTGAAATTCATTATTTCTACCTATCAATCACGGTGATGTAGAAGAGTTTGCTATTTTGCAGGATATTCTTTACAATTTGTATTTTTTCCCTCGTTTTACATAGATCAGGCAATATTTTCATTTTGCATGTTATATGCTGCTTTTATTCCTGTTTCATTTTGTAACGCACAGATGATTAACAGAGCGCTGTTGGCGAATCAGAGGGCAATTGCCAAGCTGTTCTTTAATCTAATGAAATCGGAGATGAAGAGGGAATTATCACTTCGATTGAAGTGGCAGGATAGAGTCAAGGACTGGAAGCTAATCCAAAAGAATTACGTAGTTCACAGTTTCAGGTCAGAAATTTTGCAGTTATATTTTGGAGTATAAACAACACAAAGTGGCTAGTGTTCACTTGTGTTTTCTATAAACAGTAATATTTTATTGTTTTTCCATTATAAAATTAAACATTTAAAACAACTTGGTGTTCTTTTTTTTTCACCTGGTATGTATAAAATATATTTTGTATTTGTATTTCAAACATTAAATTTTCACAAACAGATATTTACTTCAAGGTGCTCTTCATCCTACAGAGAATTTATGGCAAATGAAGAGATACAGAATCCTCCAACTGTGAAAACAGAAATGGAAAATATGATAAAGGATCAGGATACTTACTTCAAGGTGCTCTTCCATCCTACAGAGAATTTATGGCAAATGAAGAGATACAGAATCCTCCAACTGTGAAAACAGAAATGGAAAATATGATAAAGGATCAGATTTTACTTAATGAAAGGAGACTGGAGTTTTTGCAGCACCTTGGGTACGACAAAAGAAAGAACAGGAACAAGGGAAAATAGAATTATTTCTAGAGTTAATGAGGGACTTGACTACAAAATGCACTTTGTGCCCTTTCAGTATGTGATTATACAACGCAGCAGTAAGGCCTAAACTTATTTCTTAAAGATCTTTATAATGGAAAAAAATGCATTATTCGTTTTCAGTGCACCAGTTACACTACATAGGGTGATCAAGGGCTAGAAATGCAGCAACACAAAAGTAAATCTAAGGCCTAAACTTATTTTGTAAAGATCTTTATAATGGAAAAAATGCATTATTCATTTTCAGTGCACCATTTACACTACATAGGGTGATCGAGGGCTAGAAATGCAGCAACACAAAAGTAAATCTTACTAACATTTGAAACATAGTAGAAAGGAGCAGACAAAGAAGGATAGATAAGTAAAAATTGGTGATCTTGTCAAGTTATTATTTCTGTGTGGGAGTGTAATTTGTATAATAAATTGAGAAAGGAGTCTTGATAGAAATCTAACACTGCTATGTTTGACTGTCCATCCTGACAACAAAAAGATGGTTTGGGTGCAGTACATTACAATATTTACTGTTTTTCTTTTAAAATGTATGTAGCAACAAGATAGATTACAGTTAGTTCCTTAGTAAACAGCGGCCTTCAAAACCAGTAGTCATCTTGTTTTATTTTCATTGCTGATATGGCTGTAAATAAAATAAAGCACAGTAGTATGGTTACTCTGATTCATAATTTTATCCTTTAAGAAGTGACTGTATGATATTTGAAGACACTTATTCTTTTTCCTGTTTTGGTAGTGATTTGTTGCCTCCCATACACACGAAAGCTGACATAGTTGAATGGTACAAATCTTTGGTGAATTTAAACAGAAGTATAGGTAAGTTGTGAAATCATAAAAACAATATGGAATTCAAGCATTTCTTTCTTTCTTTCTTTCTTTCTTTCTTTCTAGGCAGTAATGAGTCAGACAGTTGCTTTGAAAATATATGTTTACTATAATCTTAGTTCCACGTGTTTCCATGTACCATCTAAGTTGCCAAAATAAGCTGTCTGTTGCATCACCTCCCTTTTGCCAGCCCAAGAATTTTTGCGTGGTGAGGTCTAGCAGGAACTGACTTGGTTAGAATTAATCTGGGGAAAATGGAAGGTTCATTTTAATGCTGATCAGTTCTCAGTCATACAAAAATACTCCTTTTTACCTCTTGGAGATTGAGTGGGGAAGTAATTGAGATGTTTCCTTTCCCTGAGTCCTGTAGTGTGCCTTCCCTCTGTGCCTACCCTTCTCCTGCACACATCCTGTCTTAATGTTTGTAGCCTGTATAGTAGCAAATAAGTTGCTAGTGATTGTAAATTACTCACTACTTTTAAGCATAATGATAAAAAGATTTGTATTAAAACATCTTTATTGGTTAATAGTGTCATACAAGTGTGAAGACACTATTGGGGTGATTACCTGTGCTGAAACTTGGCACAGATCCTCTGTTATGTTTCCATTTCACACTGCACTGTGAAATATGGAAATCTTTAGAATGGCCTGTTCTTCTATATCCTTCAGATACCCACAATATGGAGTGTATGGGGAAAATACACACCCAATATGAGATGGTCCAGCAAAAATGTTTGGCAGAAATGCAGCTATGCAAGGTTAGTATCACAGCTTTGTGAATTCTTGGAAGGATTATTGGTAACAGTATACAATGTGTTATTACAATAATACGGGTTTGAGGATCCACCAAACATTGAGATAACAAGTGAAATGACTTTTTAACCTCTGTCTCACTCTGTTAGAAAACTTTACTATCCATTTTGTTTCACAGTAGCATATGGTATTTGTACTTGAAATATGTAAAAGCAATAACAGATGCCAGTAATGAAAGGGGTGCTGTCCCGCTTTTAGGTAGAGGACTCGGGGTCAGAACCCTCAGCCTTTGTGCTGAATCTGTCTTATTTTGGGAAAGAAATTCCACCTTTTTGCCTCAGTTTCTCCCTTTGCTTGCGAATAGAATGGTACTGCTTACTACCAAAATGTGAGATCCAGGAGGCTGACTCTTTCTGTATCCATTCACAAGAAAAGAAGGCACACTAAGTTTAGCTATACTCCGTAAAAGCCACACAGTATTTTATGTTCTGTTCTGTTCATGTCAATAACTTAGCTTTCTTTTCATTTAGAATAACCTGTTGAATCTGAATGTTTGCACAAAAAAAGAGGCTGAAGAAATTGTGAATTCTGAGTTATTTCCATTAACTGAGAAATTACAAAGTCAGTTTGAAGAAAAACTGGAGCGTATGAATGTACGTTTGCTACATCTATTTTTATTACTCTCTGGGAGTAGCCTGTTCTTCCTGTGCTACTGCCTGAAGTGCCATATGCATCTTAGGCTATTGATGTCAGGTTAGAAAGAGCTCTATAATGTGACTGAACATCTACCCCACAAATAAAAAAAGTTTAGTGTGATTCAAGGAGAAGAGTTCAGTTGTTTGGTTTGTATTTATAATAGGTTGTCAGGGATGAATTAGATATAGCTCCTTCTGCCTGGAGGCAGAGGGATAGATTTAAATGATCTCCCAAATTTATTTCAATTCTATCTTTTATATGAAGATGACTGGGCAGTGATAGATGGCCAGATACTTTAGGGCATATACAGAACATGTTCTGTTCTTTGCAGTACTGGAAGAATAAATGGAAGTTTTGATAGCTCAGCTTCTAGAACAAAAATCCACATTCTTATCCAGTTTACTTGGACTACTTTTTCCTCTCCAAGTAGAAGAGGCCATATTGAATACTGATAGTGTACTTCCAGACAGCCTTTTGTCATATCATATGTGCCCTTACTCATTTATTTAACCTTCCAGCAAACAGTTTAATAATAACAGTTTCATTTAAATGTATTTCTTTAGAGAGACTTTGAGGAGCTGGCTAAACAGAATGAGCAGAATTGTAGAGACTTGTACAGCTATTTTCAGGAGGCCATGGGTCTCTGGGATGTCCATCAACTCAAACTGTCCCAGCAGGAAGGTGAATTTCAGAAGAAATTAGATGAATGCAGATGGAAACGGGATAACTTAATACAGGTATAAACACAAAAATAAGGATGTGGTATGATGCAAAGAAATTACTTAATTGAGAGAACCCTCTGGAATTCAAAATAGCTAGTATACAATTTAAAACCTAATCTTTGACATTTGTACGTTAATTTCTGTGGGGTAGTTTCATCCTGTCAGGTATATATTTTTGCTAATGGCTTGATTCACACTTCATATCTTATTCTTGATGTGGCAATGATGATTAAGATTATATTTTCTGTATTAAGTGGGTACAAGTTTCTATTATTCTTCTGAAGATCTTCTGAAGGTAATAGAGTCCTGTTTGTATGTCACATTGTATTATGGGCATATCATGGTGTGATACCACTTGGGGTGGCAATGTCAAAGATGTTGTTCGTTATCTATGGAAGATTTTCATAGTAGATGAGCTTTGCTAAGGTAGCTTCCCTTCTTGGTGTAGAATATATGTACCTAATTAAATTATTTGAATCCTAAATAGTTATGAAGCATTTTAGTAATCACTCAATAATTTTTAGTGGGTTCTTTTTATGTCACCTTAGATGATGGAAGCTAACCTGGATGCAATTTTGGCTGAAATGAGAACAGCGAGCTCTGAAAAAAAGCTGAAGATCTATTTGGAGAACAGCCTTTCTTCTTTAGATGACATTAAAGCTAAGTATGAAATTTGTACTGCAAACTTAACAAGTAAAGTATATTTGAATGTTGGTTGTACTACTTAGGTCTTGTTTATGCTGTAGTGTGAAGGTGTGGAAAAACACTGCTTGCTACTTCATGTAAGAATTCAAAATAAAATAATTTCCATATTGAACAAGGTTAAGGCAAATAGTACCCACATTTGAGAAGAAGGAAGGACTAAGGAAGACCAATTAATAGTAGTAAAATTTTAAAAATATACCAGATCAGTATTATTATGGTAATGTAGTGTACCATGTCATCCATGCCAGTGGGACAATTAGTAATTCAGAAGGTGAAAGTAGTAGTTCAGATTCTTGAATCACAGGTATCGGAAAGTAGATCTGTGCCGTCACCTGTGCTCTGGGCTCACAGATTTGATCTCATTCAAAGCCACAAGGACTAGAAGTTACTAATAACTTTCAGATAGCCAAAGCATATATTTTGGTAATCTTCCTGTTATGTTTCTTCTGATCCGACACAGCAATGTGGGCCTGAGAGGCAGATGCACACACCTCATACTGTAACTGTGTTTAGAGCTGTTGATTCAGTACTCTTTATATTCATTAGGACAATTAAAAAAATCCCAAAGGTAATGTACATTTTTAGGTCAGTGACAATACAGTGAGAATTGCAGAGATGGAATGTAATCTATCTAAACATTTGAACACATACATAAATGCCCCATAATTATCTTCATATAGGATACAAAGCATATGTAAATGGAAACAGGTGGGAACATTGATTTTTCTTGAATCAAAACTCAGCTTGAACCATTAGTTTTCATTTCCAAGTAAAATGAAAATAAACCAGAAAAACTTCAGTCACAACTGAGCATGATACAGAGCTAACATAAAAGACAGTAATTTGACCACTCACTTCTAATATTCCTTATGTAAGCACAGGTCTTGAATGGTTTCCCATCCAAAATGAAAGATCTGAAATACTCTATTGTGCATAGTTCTTAACTTCTGTGCATTTATCTATTTGTAATGAACTAATCTCTACTAACAAGCCAGGTTGTGATTGTATTCAGGCTCAGCAGATATAGTACAATGTTTAGCCTAAAGGTTTTAGGAGATTGGTCAAAAAGTTAATTTGGATTTAAAGACATTGTAGTCATATTTAAATTTATTTCTATATATACTTGAGTCTCCTAAACAGTGACCTTAAATTTGACAGGTATGCATCATTCAGCCCAATTCTAATGGATAAAATAATGGCTTACCCAGAAGCTATTTTGTGGGAATTGATTTCTTACAGTATATCCGTCAGCCAGTATTTTAATGTGAAGGAAATCTTCAAACAGGTATAAAGAACACAAACTTACTCTGGTTTAAGATGTTATTGGTGTATTATTTTTTGGGAAAATTTGCATTAGCTTTAGAATTTGGATTATATAAACTAAAGCGTTGTTTTGGCCACAGGACCGAAGTGCTTTTGATAGAAATAGAGGTGAGGAAACACAAAACCTTTCTCTGTCCCACACTTTTAACTCTGTCCTTGTTACAAGCTGCATTTCAGCAAATTCATTTGCCTTTTAAACAGAAAAATGCAAAGTAACAAAATCATATTAATTGATTTGAGTGTTATGCTACTTTATAAAATAAGTGATCCATTCAAGACTAACATATCTTATTAAAATAAATATGTTTTTAGAAGGAATATGAATTTCTTCTAAGCAAGTAAATCTTTATTTTGCTTTTAGAACTTGCAGGGAGAGATAGACTCCACGTTTCAAGATCAAGGTAATATCTCAATGGTACAAAGAGGTCTCTTTGCTTGCTTGTTTTTCATTTTATATTTCTTTGGATTGTGACTAGTAAAACTCTGCTTTAACTGGAAAGAACTAGTTAAGGCTTCAGGAGCTGAAGGTCTGGTGGAGCAGCAAGCTGAGAGCATTGTGCAAGAAAATGAAGGAAAGCAGAAGATGGATAGTTGTCAACGAGAAAATGAAGAAACAAACATAGCTGAGAATGAGGCCATCATTGCAGAGGAAACTGAGGAAACTGAGGAAGAAGAAGATGGGGAGAGTATTCCTCACGAAAGTGAAGAACCTGAGCATGCAGGTCAGGGGGTAAGCTTTACACAGGTAAGTGAAGAGAATAAATTTGAAGGTGAAGGAAGTCTTGCACAAAATAATGATGAATAGGAAGTTCTATTTTTGCTGAGGTAAGCCTAAATTCCTTAAAGTAAATTAGATTTAGTTTGTCCAAGAAGCACTCGGGAGTCTGTTGTTCTCATTTATTTCTGGACTATTAGGACTTTAGTTCCTTTTTATGGAGAAATGGAGCGTATAAAACAGTTTGCAACCAATCCTTTTGCACTGCTTTTACCCTCGTAAAAAAACCTTTTGCACAGATTTTTTAAAAATACCTTTCTTTCATCATACTATTCTTAACCCATAGTGAATGATTTAAGCTGTATTTTTATTTAAGTATTAGTTTTTCAGGTCTTTACATGAATTTATTACCAGAAAAACTTTTTAAAACATTGATGACTCTGCCTATTAAGACTTACTTATTCTCTGTGTGAATGTTGTCTGAATTGAGAACTGGAACATTATTCTTAATACCCTTAGGATTCTTACATTAGCTTGTGCACTGTTGATTCTATGCTTTTGCCTTTAAAGGTAGCAGATTATGATGTCCAGTTGTTTCCTAGGTTATGTTCAACAGCAGCAAGGCAGAGAGCTCTGAAATTCCTGTTGAGACCTTTTCCACTTCTAGTGGAAACACTTACACAGTTCTTGAAGATGGAGAGGCAGGAAAGACTGACATCCCAGAGACTCATTTTACAAAATATGAAGAAAGAGAGTCACTTCCTATATACCTGAAATATGGACTTATCGATGAAACCATGTTCATAGAGCTGAAGAAAAGGTTAGTAGAAAACAGTTCATGTTCTTTCTTTTTCTTGAGGTAATAGGCAAATTTCAGCTGTTTGGAAGAAACGTTAGACTAAAGGTGTGAAAATTATCTAATTATTTTTGTTTGTTTTAAAAAAAAAAAAATTATAAAAAGAGAAAAATTTTATATCGCTTTTCATCTGTGGCTTTCAAAGTACCACACAAGCATTTGCCTGTTACAGAACATTCATATCTTACAGAAAATTATTTAGCGAGAAAACCTATTGCAGAAAGGTAAGTAATTTGCCCAAATTCCTGCAGAGCCATGAAGGTAAAATGCCTGGTACTCAAAAGGATGGAGCTAGCTCAAAAACTCTACCAGTATTGTGCAAATGGTAATGAAACCATATCTTCCTATAATCAGAAGCTAAATTCTTAGAAGGAAAATATTTCATAAATTCTTATTTCTTACTTACTGTTCGTGACTATAATACTTATTTTTAATCGTAGGATTCGCCTCTGCTTTTTTGAACACTTGGAGAAATGGTTTGCAGAGTCTTTGTCCAACTCCTTTGTTATTGTAGCTGCCAAGAAAGAGGAGCTGAATTCAGACCTTCAGCTGCGTCTTCACTTGCATCAACAAACACGGGAGAATATAGAGACAAATATCTACAATGTTAGAGCTGGTACTGACTTTTTTTTACTCTGAGCATTACGTGTCTTCGCTTAGAGACAAGCATAAGTGGACCGAAATCTTTTTCAGTGTCAGTTCACTCAGTCATAGAGGACAATAGGAAGCAGTTGAGTGTCTACGAATTCCTAGTATAGTATGTTACTCATATATTTTAAAAAAGATGTTTCTTTTCTATAGCTTATACTGGTTTGTGCTATGTTGTGTTTGGAAAATACCCAGCAGTGCCTTGGTCAGTGAGTTGATTGTAAAAGATGTAGACTGTTCGCTTTCTATTGTCAATATTTGTGAATCCTACTTCTCCTTGAAATTATTTGACAAGAGTTTGCAATGTACAAAAAATAATTTTAAAAGTGTTGCAGAAAAAGAATTAGCAAATGTTGGGAGGGACGAAATGCTAGGGCCAGGTGCCTTTTCTGGCTGTTTTCTTGAGGTTGATTGGCTAGCTCTTGATTTAACCAACTATCATTCTAGAAGGGAGACTAAAAAGGATTTTTTTTTTCCCAACAAAAATAGGGAGAAGTGTATTTTCCATTAAAAAAAAAATCCTTTACTTTTACTTTTATTACAAGACTGAGAACAGAGAGATAATGGAGATGTCAGTGGTGACCAAAAATAAAGTAAAAAGAGGCCTTAGAGCAAACAAAAGACATTTGAGATTTGAATGGATTAGGAGCTGCTAGGGATGTATGTCAAATGCAGGAAAAAAGTCAAAGAAATAGAATCAGATGTATTTTATTTGTATGTTTTAGCCACTCTGAGATCTGGCTCGGTTTGTTTTACCACTGCTTCTGTTAATAGGTTGGCTGGTGGTTGTGATAGTCCACAGTAAACAAGGAATAATGACCATATTGTAAAATTTTTTATCAGTGGAACTGTTGCTTCACAACGAGCGTCTAGAGTGCCACTGTGCTGGGGTGGAAGAAGCTCTGAAAAATGAGAGAGCTGAATTTCTCAAATTTTGTGATGAGCAAAACATCATGAGCAAAAACTTACACTCACGAATCTGTGACATGGAATCTGTCCTCCTCAGTGCTCCTACGACTGAGAAGTAAGTGTGCCACAGGTGTTGCTGGCAGTGAATTTCCTTAGACAAATGCTCCTAATTGCTGTCTGAGCTGCTTATGGCTTGCATTCTGCATCTATTCTATATGTCATTGCTCTTCAATAAAGATTGCTTCATGAAGCTTTAAAAAATGTAAAGAATTTTTTTCCTTTATCTCTCCCTGAAGAAATGAAATTCAGTACTGAATGGGTGACAATTTTTCCTTTATTTTCAAAGTGTTGGCAGTCTTAAAGTAGAAAAGATGTTTCAACTGTTTAGATTTCATCCAGTTTACTGAACCTGCACAGTAATAGCAATTGACTAATTGGCTTTGAGTGATACTCTTCAATAGCATCAACTGCTTGCTGATATCTTGAGTGTTCATCAGAACAATCACAGTTCAGTGACTTGCTTTCAGAATACTAAAACACTCTTGAGTTCTCAGATTTTGTTTATGTATTTACAGCCAGCAGCCTCTGAATCAAATGTGTGCTCCTCTTTCTATATGTTTTCTCTGTCTTTTATTATTTGCTGTTAGGTTAGTTTCTTTCAGCAACAGTCTGAACTCAGAGCTACATAATCATCTGGAAATGATCCAGGTTTCCCTGAGGAGCTACTGGAACTATTTGGAGGAAGCTTTAGGAAAATTAAGGAATTCCAATGTGCAGTTTCTCAAAGCTTGCAGGTATAGAGATTTCATTGAGTGTTGTTTATAAATAGTTACCTACTTCTGGGCATCAGCATTTGTTGGATAGGCAGAACAGCAAAATTAAAGTTTATTTTATTTTTCATCTAGTTTGCTATTTAAAAGAAAACAAATTTATTTCATTAAGCCAAAATTGTGATACTGTTTTCATCACATTAGTGTTGATATCTGTGTTTTAGGGCTGCTTAGCTAAAACAGTCTTTGAGAAAAGGAAGACTCGTAGCCAATTACTTTTACTTTGCTGGTTGCTTTCAGATTATTTTTGGAGGGAGGTAACTTTTCTCCTGAGGAGGCAAAGTCTTTCACCAAGCGTCTTGAGGCAGAAAGTGAGCGTATTAACTCTTTTGAAAGTTTAATCAAGACAGATATGGAGAAAATGGAATCGAGCTGCATGGAGCAGGTGTGCAGAGTTTTATTCTTTCAGATTATGTATTATACTGGCATATTTGATGTGCTTTATAATCAGCCTGCTCCCAGGCTATGACAATTACATGATGGGGGGGGAAAAAAAAGGAGAAATAGTGACTTCTGCTATTTAAGTTTTAAAAAGTGAAAATTACTTAGTTCTTTCTCCTGTTTCTGGCATTCTTAAAGGCTACTGGATTTATCAACCAATCTGAAAAAAAGTTCCAGCATCTCTTTATGAATCGAGCCTTTATGGAGAAGATCCAACGATTATTGTCAAATCTACGAGTGCAAATCAAATCAGAGGTATAAACAGAAACATCAGAATTTTGTTTAAATGAATTACAATAACTTCTGTTTTATTCCATTGAAGAGATTTTTGGCTGAATTCAGAGTGGACAAACATTAAGTGACTTTTTATATTAATTCAAAACCTGTTTTCTGTCATTATCAGCTTAAAACTATGTTTTTACTACTGCTGCATCTATGCTGGAACACTATGGTCTTGCAGCATGTAGAGTATGTACATCTGAATAGACCAGCATTTGTGTGTGGTGCAGTAAAGGATATGAAGTGTTGCTTTTGTGAATTATTGTTTTCAGCTTCTCCTCTGAGTACCAGTGATAGTGTTTTTACCAGCAAGTCTAGTGGTTTCAAAGTGGAGCCTCTGAAAATCCATCTAATGAGATTGCACTTCACCAATATCTGCTTCTGCTATAGGTAGCAAATTCCACTTCGCAGGCAGTGACATTAAACTCTTCTCTGGAGAAGCTCCGTCAGGAGATAGATGCTTGTGCTCATCATACTGCAGATAAAGAAGTAAGTTCTAATCAGCACAAAATGGCATTTAATTTGACTTGGTATTAATTTGACTGTGCATGTTTGTATAATGTATAAACTAATATTTTTGAGGCAGACTTATGTTTATGCACATTTGAAGGGGTGGGTGGAAAGAGTACTTTACCACAGAATTTTTGCTCAGGAAGGTCTTGTACCTGTTTTCCTGTTTGCCAAACAAAAACCTCAGCCTCTGTATAATCTCATGCTGCCATGTATGTGTAAATAAAATGGTGACAGAACAGAGTTAAATGGTGTTGTATGCAACAGTCAGCATATTTGAAAAGTCCAAAATAGCTAGTTTAGTAAATACCATCTGTATTATCGTCTCTTTCAGGCTTTGACTTCTGAAGAATTGTATGATTTTGCCAAAGGAGTGTTGAAAAAACTGAAAGAGAGGAGCCAGTATCTTGACTGCTTGCTAGTAAAAGCAGTGAGCCCACGTGATAATGTAAGATAGCATTTAAGTTCTCTAGGTTTTATTTAATATTGAGTGAATTTTTATGTGTATATGTTGTAAAGGTTTTTCAGAACCTGCACTTTGAATTTCAAATGAAGAAAGATGCTGCGTTATGCCAAGCTGCCCAAGACGTTGTAACATCAGGTCAATTTTTTTAAGAGGCTGAGGAGATCAGTCACTGCTGAGTTTACTAAATGTTGAAGATGTGCAGCATCACAATGAGTTGCTTAGACCTTCACAAGAGTTTATTTTCAAGGTGTAGCACTGTTCATAGATACATATTTCATGGGTTTCTTTAAATAACTTTAAAAAAAAATCAAACGCGTCCTGAATTTTTTTATCAAGTCGGTTTGGTGTTTTTCCCCCTTCCTTGTCTGGAAAGTCTGTCTTTATTTTGCAGTGTACAGTGGATCATTGTTTTAAGGGTGTATACTTAAATATTGCTTATGATAATTATAAGAATCTGCTCCTAACTACTTTAAAGCGTCTCAGGGTTGTACAGCTGTAACAACATCACTACTAGGGTTATAAAAAAACTTCATTTCAGCCTGTGAAGCAAAGTAGTGTATGTTTGGAAGATCTGCTTTAGTAGTCAGTAGCTACATGTAATTCTTTCACTAATTGCCTGCTACAGTCAACAGGGTTTCATTTTTCTTCTCATTTCAGAAACACTTTACCCCTCTTGCAACGGATGTTACGTTACAAGGTCCGATTGCTGCTGCCATTCGAACAGAGCGTCTCAGAGATGAGAGCAAAGTGATGGTGATGGGGCTGGATCCTGTCAGATTTCCTTTGTTAAATCCCAGCAGAATGGGAAAGTCTGCACTTGATGATTTATCAATAAGTTTTATCAAAAATTTACTTGGGTAAGTACTTGTTTGCCTAAAGGTATTTTTCTGTCATTGTCTGTATTTATATTTTCTTTGCTGTATATACCTCTTCTCTTCATGGGGCTTATGATAACACTAGAAGGGGCTTCACTACAGCATTTTTTAAATTCATATTCCAGAAGCATATCAAGGTTTTCCTGAATTCATATTCTGTAGTTTACCTTTGTATATACAGAACCGTTGAATATATTGTTCTTAGGTAATACTACTACCTATGTTCTGATCAGTCTAGCTGGAACTACGTTCTTTTTAAAAGCATCATTTCTAATAGTGAAAAATACCCCATTGCGAGTTATGAGTGTCATCTAGTTAATAGCATTATGATAAATTTTAGGCATTAAATTTTTAACTTCTATAGTATTATTTTAGTTAAAAGGTGTTTACATGCTTACATAATTGAATGAACATAAAAAGTGTGAAATTAACAGTATGACAAGTGTGTGATTTTCAAATAAATACTTTAATGCACAGTTTCGCTTGTAGAAATCCTGAAATTCTATTTAAACAATTAGTTACTTCCATGAAAGTACTTGTATTTGCACTATCAGTCATAAAAAGTAATCCTATCTGTTAAATATTATCTCAGAAATTTAACTGCACTTAGCACATAGTAGGGATAGAGACAGATGGTATATAATACAGTATATAATATAAAATAGCAGGGTATTCAATAGCTGCTTAGCTATTGCTTTTTTGTTTCAGAATTCAGTCAGCCAGAAAATCTTCAGGCTTAAATAAGGAGAGAAATGATCAATCACATTCATCAGGACCAGGTGTGCCAGCATTTCTTTTAATACATTACATTAATCTAAATGGTAGTTCCTAGCAGGTCTAGCATGTTCCAGGCCAGTGGCTTACATGCTAGAGTTGTGCATCCCAACTTTTTTATTGGATATTTTTATTTTGCCATAAGAAGATGATTTTTGGCTTTTAACCAATGAAAGGTACAGAATGAGATAATTTTATAAAAGTACCCATATTTGTGATAGCAAAAGGGAAAAGAGATGGAGAAAAGAATTGGGAGAGAAGTAAAAAATATGGAGAGGATCAGGGTCTCTTCTCACAGTGTATTGTCATTCACTTAGAGGTGGGTGCAGAGGTAACCCCAACTGCTCCCTGCCTAGTGTTCCCATTTCCTCATCTCTCTTCTCCAGAGTTTGACTCCTCCAGCCACTTCCAAAGGTATCCTCCCTCTTCCACATTCCTGAGTCCCCATCAAAGCCAAGTCTATAAATGTAGCCCATTCATTCTCTTTCTTATTCCCTGCCTTAACGTTGCTTTAAATCTCCTCCCATCTACCAGGTCTGTTCTATGACATTCCCATCACTCCTGCCCCAGTGCGGTTGCTTCAATTCTGTCTGCCGGAAAGTATTGTTCCTACAGTTGTCCCATTAGTGTTGTAAGGAAACATTGCAGAAATGAGAACACAAACTGTAAAACCAGATAAAAAATACATCAGTTGGCATTTATACAATGTTCTTTATCTTTCTTTGTTAAATACAAAGCAATTGTGTCTGACAAAGGTCCTCAGAGCTCTGCTACTTACAACTGTGCATCTCGGATCACCAAGAAGTTGCCTTCTAAGAAAAAGATGTCAAGAGGAAGGTAAGACCCCTGGAAGGGGGAATTCCACTTAGTGTTCCTGTACAGAAATTTACCTAAACTTTGTCCGCTGCCTGTTCTTTGAAAAATTCTTAGTGCTTATTTGTATTGGCCTTCCTTCCATCTGTGCTTGTCATTTGGGATCTCTTCCTTGTTTATGTCCTCATGATCAGCTCTGTTCATTGTTTGGTTTGTTGTTTTGGGTTTTTTTTTTTTAAAGTTTTTGGCTGAAAAAACATTCTTCTCCTTCATCTGCTGGTGTTTTGTATTGTGGAGCTGTTGAAGTATAAACTAACCCTGCTCTTCAGTCAACATGGCTTAATTTTCAGTTCTGATGTCTAAATACTAAGTCTTCAGCTTAGACCATAGATAGCTGAAATGAGCTACTGTAATAGTGAAAATAACAGAAACATTTTGAAGAGCTGTTAAGGAGAGAATCTTGGGATTTTTTTTCTATCAAAAATTATTTTCATATAATACAAATCTTAGAGCTAAATTTTTCCCAATTTTTATTCAGTTTCATGTCTATCATGTGACTGACTAGCTCTCAGCCAGAGGAGGAAAATATTTGTGGATAGTTTCAAATTAATGTTTTGCCTCCCTAGAGTACAGAAATCCACCAAACCAGTTCTTGGTGACAAGAGATTCCAGATGTTTGGAGAGAAGCCTCCAGAAGCTGAGTAAGTCATGTATATTTGCAGAAATATAAGTTAATCTGCAAAAAAATCCTACCTATCTCTCCATTTATTTATTTATAATCATTAACTATAGAGTTCACCATTGAATTTTGAGGTATTTAACCTTGATATTTATGGGTCAGTGTTTATAAAACAGTTACTTTTTGCAGCATAACAATAGTGAATCTAATGTTACCCATTTTATTCTGTTTAATGTCTGAAATGGGTGGCCTCATTGGAGCCCATTTTGTACATTTATAAAAAATGGGCTGGAAAATGTAATATGCCTTTCAGTTATTTTCACCTCTAAGACTACCGATAAATTTTATACACGACATTCTTGTGCTCAGTATTACCTTTATATGAATAAACAAGCAACAAACTGTTTAGGAGATGATTTTTAAATCATTCGATTATCCTTCTCTGAGGAAGTTGTAATTTTTTTTGTTGATATGTGTAGTTGTACTACACAGAACTGAGATATTTTATATGTGCCGTGCAAAACTATTAAAATTAATGCCTAAGATGTTTAAGTGCTTGGGAATTCTGTTCCATATTGTGTTTCAAAATATTTACAGTAAACAGCTACACCCACCTTCGAATATTGTTTGGTTCATCAAAAATGCATGGGAAGCTCTTCAGGTAAATTTTCAGCACAGGAAGTTGGCTTTTTTATTACAGTGATATGGAGGTGTTCTCCAGTAAGCATTTGCAATATCTCGGAATCCTTGCTTTTTCTTAAGAGAATCCGTACTAACGGGAGTGAAGGTTCTTAGGCATTCTGAATATTGGTGTATGCTCTGAAAAATGTATTAAAATAAACCTGAACAAAACATTTGAAAAATGGTAAATATTGCCAATGTGATCATTTTACAGTGTGATTATGGTTTTAATTTTTTAAAAAATTTTGTTTGTTTTCAGTACTTTCAAGGGGATTATTATGAATATTCTCTGGACGGGCAATAACAACTTGCTCTCCCTTGCTGAGGTATGAAAATCCAGTGTTCTTCAGTCACTTTTGCTTTCGTAAGTCTCCTCCTCTGTCAGCTAAATAATTGGGTTCTCTACAATGTTTGGATGGCATAAAAAAATTTTCCTGTCTTCATCAATACATCTAATTTTTAAATAGTATTTGACACGGTGTATTTTTAATCACAGGATTCTTTATAGATATTAACTAAGCATTTCAGAATTGGAGAATGAAAACTGGTCTTAAATAAGGGAGTGGTTGATAGACTTGTGTATCCCTGCTGCTGTTATATGCCTAGATGTGACTTGTTTGAATACATTGTCAACAACTTCTCTGTTTAATCTTTGCCTCCTGAAGGAGTTCTACCAAAAAGAGAAGCTTCAAATCACAGTGCCCGAAGATGTGCCAGAGACATTTGAACGTTGTGCAAAAATGCTCAAACAGCATCTATTGTCATACCAAAGCCAGACAGATGATTACCACAATTCCTGTCTTATGGGTAAGTTAATTCAGTTAAGACTTTTAATTCTTGTTTATGTAATTTTTCAATATGTAAACTGAAAATTGGCAGTGATTGAGACTTATGTAGCTTTCTTAATCTGTCACACTCAGTGAAAAAACTCAAGTTGATTTTACTGGAAATTGGGCCACTATTCTCTTATATATTATCAGCCACAGAAAGCAGGGCTCAAGGGCATTTGACTAAGTTGAAAGACCTATACGAGGGCACATCTTTCAGCAAGTGTATGTTTCTCAAAGCATTGGACCGAGAAAAAGGAATGGCAGGGACAGAATCTCTGTGAGAGAAAATTCCAGGTTGTTTGACCCTTGCAGCGTGCATTCGAGTTGACTGAGTGGTTTTTCTGTTTGCAATGAATACTTCTGTATCACATAAACACCCCTGTCTTTTCCAAAAAGAATTTCAGGATCAGTTGAAGTTGTTTGAGAAGGAGCTCCCTTATGTCTGCCAGTTGGCAATTGATAGTCTTTTAAAAGAACACGAGCAGAAGCTCAGCTATTCCACTGGTCAGATTCGTCAGCTCTTCAATAAACAGCTGGAAGACTGGGAGAAAGTGAAGGTGTGTATCATGGACATATTGGAATGCTTCATATAAGCAATGTTAAATGCATCAGAATTATAAAGTTTTCTTTTAATTAATCTTAGTGTTTGCTTAATCACTCATTGCTGAGCTAGCCACAGGCTTAGTTTCTGCGTTTGCAGTTAGTGTGTAGTTCTACTGGAAGCTTTGGATTTCTAGTAACTCAGTCCCTTCTCTCACTGCTTCCAGCATTGGGCTGCCCCTTTATAATCCAGCTCTGCCTGTCATCTTACACTTAGATTGTAAACTCCTTAAGGACAGTGATGTTGTGGTATGGCTATACAGCTCATACTGTATGGGTGCCCTCGTTTGTAGGTACTGCAACATATGGATAATGAAATATCATTATTTACTGTATTCAAAAAACAGATATATTTTGTCCAGTAATATCAGAACTGATAACAGAATTATAATGGACATCATGCAGAAAATGCTATAGAGGAGTATCTTAAGATTTTGTTCCTCTGAGTATTAAGTTAAATTCAGGAAAAATACAAATATAAAGGTATAAAATATCTTGTTTACCACTTGGTAGGAAAGATTGTTTGTTGAAAACAAAAACCAAGGTGAGATCAGAGGCCCTGTACTCCAGCAGATAGGTGATTTGGTATATACTGCACTTCAAGGTTTATCTCTAGACAGCCAAGGAATACACTGTATTTTCTTTGTCTTTCAGAATATTTTCCTGTAAAGTGTGTGGGTTTTACTTTCTTATTATGACTCTACTGCACGTTCTTTACTGAAGGCATTTCTTTCTTATGTATTTACTTGAAGGCTGTGCACAAGAATCAATTGCATCCCTCTCTGGGACACCCAGACAACTTAGTTCAGCTGGATGCTTTGTGCCAAGAGGAAATAAAAAGACAAAAAGACCAAGCTGATGGTATTCATCTCAACACACAGATGCTGCAGGTAATTGTAAAGCCATTGCTTAATGTGAACTTAGGTGTTGCATTTGGAAAGGAGAGTACATCTTGGATACATTTTTTTCCTTCCCATCAAAAGTAAACTGGAAAATATTTTCAGTTTTAGCCAATTATGTTCATACAGCTTTTCAGTTATGTATTAACAGCATTAGATCAATATATACATAAATGCATATGCACGTGTACACGTACATAGATTTATTGTGGAACTAACACTCTTGGAACATACTGAGGAAAAGATGATGTCTATCTTAACAGGAGAATTATTGGATAGAAGTCTAAATTGGGAGCAACAGTAACATCCTCTGGTTAGTTGTATTACTTGCAGACAACAAATGCCTGGAAGGGTTTCTTCTGTGTGCATTTCATTACTGCAAATAATTGCCGTTATTTTGGGGTTTTTTTTACACAAGATTAAGAACTTCTCTTGCTCCATCTTCTAGGGTTACTGAAGGCCACTTCCCCAGCATGAAAGCTCTTTGTTTACTTCCCTCAGGCCACTTACTCAAAATTCTATACTGTCTGCAGACTATGTATATTTTTAATTCAGAAGTAATATCTCTTCCTCTTAGCTCTGCATACACATACAGAAACACACCCTGTTTTAGAATAACACCTGGCCAAAGCATGTCCACCCGAGGTACCTGAATTCAAAAATGGCCTTTGCCTTGAGCAGAAGGATGCATTTACACGTAGCTGTTTTTATCAGGTTTCGATGCTTAACCCAAATATTCAGCTACTGGGGAACTATACAGAGAACTCTATAGCTCTTTGTATTTTACCTTAGGTAATCAGGTAGCATTGAGAACACAGCAGAGAGGCGCTTTTAGACCCTTTTATGTGCAACTTAGAGCCTTATGTCTGCTATCTGCAGCTGTTGCAAAATGTCAAGGTTGGATACTTGCGTAGTTCTTTTGGAGCTAAACTAAAAGGAGGAGAGATCAAATTATCAAAGAAATTCCTCTCACTTGTCTCGTCCCAACAGGACTGTGCTGCTGAGTGTGCTCAGAACTTTTTTTCTGCGCTAGCTGCCTTCACTGAAAAGCTGCTTCTGGAATTAGATGAAAGTATCACTGTTGATGATGTACAAGTAGCAAGTAAGTAAAAAAGAAATTGCTTGTTCAGGCCTCCATTTCCTTCTCAAAGATGGCAGCAGACTTCCCCTAGGAAGAGGAGGGAAGTATACTTTCCATATAAAGTACTATGCTATAGTACTTTAAATGGAAAGATTTGCATGATCAGGCATGCAAAGCTATTTCTTGGAAGGGAAGAGCATCTAGCTGTGTATAGTTACTTCAAAGCAATGGTACTACTGCCATTGTTTTGTTGCTGCTGAGTCTCTGTTCTATTATCTTCCAGAAACTGAAATACCCAGAGAGAAGACATCCACTTTAACCGACCGTAAACAAGCTGAACTTCCTCTAGAAGTCTGTGAAGTTAAACAGTTAATTGAACGTGGGAGCAGGTAATATTTGAAGATACTGAACACTGTGATATGTAATTTCTCTTCTCTAAGCTGGTATCGGACACTGTCCTCATAGTTTTTTGCTGCACTTGTTGAAACTACTGAATACTATGCTCATTATTAACATAATTTAACTAGTTATGGGGCAGTTTGGGTGGGTGATGATTTTAAAGAAAGAATAGCAATGGATCCAAATAAATAAGTGAATTACATACTGTATTGTAAAGCAATACAATTTCAATTTTATTGCCATGCCACTTTGCTAGCCACTATGTATCAATTCAACACTTTGAAATCTATTAATATAACGTGTATTTTCACTCAGAAGATATGGATTCTATTTTCTCTGCAGAGATCTTGAATTTTTAAAAGAAAAGGTGGTTGTACTAAATAAGGTAGTTTGTAGGGTAACTTTTGGTGGAGTTTAAAAAAAATCAATCTTTTGTACTTTAAGTATGAGTAACGAGTTAGTATAATCTGCTCTCTTTTCTAACTTTCTCTCATGTGGCTTTTTTGTTTTTCTTCTGGTTGTTTTTTTAAGGACTTGGCCAGGAATACCCAGGACTACCCTTACATACAATTCAGACCATATTCTTTGCAGAGAAACTGCGTCAGTTACAACAGCTAAGACTACACTGGGTCATGTAGCAGCAGTAGAAGCAAGAGATGCTGTTTATAAGGTTGGTCTGCAAGCAAGGACTGGGAGTGGGGCTGCTACTGTTGTGCATTTCTATTTTTAAGAAGAAAATTATAGCTATGTCCAAGTTTTTCATAGATACAGTGTTTTCAGATTTTTAAGCCATATTCACTGTGTGTAGAAATCCTCTCTCATGTCTGTTTCTTTGTGATGTTGTCAAAAGCAGCCAGAGTTGGCTTCTCAGGAGCCCCCATTCACATACATTACAATGGGGAATTGTTTCAGCACAGGAGCACGGATAGTATCAGAAACAGGACACTTCATACATTTCAGCAGCATCACAATTCAAAAAGTAGCTGCTGCCATAATGCCATTTCAATACAGCTTGCTTTCACTCACCTTTCTAAAGCCTACAGCTCTAACCTTTGATCACAAAGGCAGATTTTTCCATAGAAGGTGAAGGCCTGTAAGATACTTACATCCTGAACCATCACAGATCATTGTTTCCAGCATAAAAATGATCACTCTTCCTTCACTAAGTCTGATAAAAGAATGAGCACGTTGCAGACAACCTTGAGACTCTGACTTGCATTGGTGAGAGCTTGTGAAACAGTAGTGTTCAGCAATTAAGAGAATATTTGTATGTTAAATCATTTGGAAATAAATGGTCAGTGTTTATGCATCTGTCCTGGAAGTAATCGTATTCCCAGTGAACTGAGTTAATTTTTAAAAATATATATATTTTTAATAGGGAAAGGTAAAATACACTGTCAACAATGGCAAATGCCATCAAAGCTATAAATTTGCATTAATGTTTTATGTATCTAGTTATGGTACCTAAGCACCCAGTTACAGCACAGTTTTGAAGTTAGCATAGTTTGTCAGTAGGGTGTGATACAGTAACTGCAATGTTTTCCTGAATGTATGTCGCATTAAAAATACAGTATTTTCTATTTTGGAGCATGGATTCTTCAATAAAGGTGCCTTGAGATTTTTATGGTAGTCTACAAGTTTCTGTTTAGATGAAATAGCTTTTCTGCAGCTTTGTAATAGTTCAGTTCACACTTGTGACGTAGAAAGTTCCAGCAAGAGCCAGAGCGCATTCTGTGTTTGAGATGCATGATTTCCACTCTCTTCTCTAGAGAAGGCAACTCTTTAATCTTAGGAGCTAGTGGAAGTGAGATTAAGATCTTGCATTTTTAGCAAAATTTAAATATCGCTGATAACTTAGTTTCAGAAGTCTTTAAAAGGAACACAGTAGGAAGGCAGTGAATAATTCATTGTGTGTATAGTCCTATTGTTAAAGGCAGAAAATAAGTGGCCTGTATACAGTCTTCTGACACAGTGGATCAGGACCTGGATTTAGGCAAAGGAAAATTATATTTCATCACTACCAATTTTTTCCTTTGTTGTTGTTGTTTATACAGAAATACAAATGTAAACTTGAGCAGCAGTTTGCCCAGATCAAGGAAGAAAGTACAGCTCAGCTGCGGACCATTCAGTGTTGGCAAGATTGGTGGAAAAGATCCATCCAGAAGATTAAGCAACTCTATACATGAGATCAGCCAAATCTTGCTGGTGTCCTTCTGATCAAGTTTGGAATAATTCCAGTGATGTTACAGATTTAATCTAACAAAATTTTCTTCTTTTTCTTTTTTTTAATTTCTGTTGCACTGAACAAGAGTGAAAGGAGCTATTTTTTGCCTCTTGAAATAAAAAATCTGACGAATGTGCTGTAAATGAAATGTAGACTCTGTGCAGTGCTTCCTAGTCGATCTCAGCCAGAGTAAAGTTAACTCGGTGTGGTGCTGGCTGTAATACGAGAATCTGAAACGCTAGAAGCCCAAGCAGTGGATTTGCACTGAAGTTCATGTTCAAGATTCGGGCGCAACTGAATATATCTGTGCCATGGGACAGTCTGAGCTTATAATAGTCAAAGGCAACCTGTTTAATAATGGAGTCCAGCAAGGAAACTTTTTCTCAGCACGGTTGAAGCCTTTCCCATGGATATCCTCTCTTTCTTCACATTCTGAACGACACTGTACTCACAGCTTGCTACTTCAGTTTTAGAAATCTGAAATACAGGTTTAGAAATCTAAAATACTTGATCTGCAGGGAGTGTTTTCCATGGAATGGTCTGCAAGTGAGGTATTTATCTGCAGTGCAGAATACTTTCCAAGGCAGAGCTTGAAGATAAAGTACTGCTTTGTTCTGGGAGGTCAAGCAAGTTCATTTAGGAGAAATACAGCTACTTTCAGCCATATTGCTTTTAAAAAAAACGCTGAACAAATTTAAGGAACCTAAGTGACTATTAAAAATGCTTTAGCTGTTTTCCTGTTTGTTAGGAGATTCTGTCACTAACTGCAACCAATATGGTAAATGTCAATGAGATTATTTTAGAGGCAAGGAGACATTCTGAACTCATCTGGCTCCAGTGTTCTTGCAGATTTGTAACAGAGAAATTGAAGCAAAGGGGGAATGCATCAGCTGTGCTCCTGATGATGCCATATTTCAAAATATGTGGATTACTTTTCCCGAGGGATTAGATGTTTACTCTGTAAAGACACATGGAAGTACACTATACTAGCTGAAACTTCACTAAAATAACCAGAACGCCTGTGTCTTTTTTTGTTGTTCTATGTTAATTTTACTATTCAATTTGAGGATAACTTTTATTCTCCTTTCTTTTATCTGTTCATTATCCTCCATCCTTCCCTGTCACCCAAGTTCTATGCTATCGCTCTTGAGACACCATGGTAGTGCATGAGGATGGTCAGGTGCAGGAAAAGACAATCCCCAGGAGACTATCTGCAAAGTGGTACTCTCTTATGTTTTCATTTATACTTTGGGGGAAATTTCTGAGAGGATATTTATGAAATTGGAAAGTGGTATCAAGCTGGGAGGGGCTGCAAGCAGCATGGAAAACAGAATTCAGTCAAAGCTTGATGTTTTAGAAAAACAAATAGCAGGAAAATGGAGTAAAATTCCATAAAGTCAAGCACAAGGTTCCATAGAAAACATGTGTAGCTTACATGTAGTTTAGGAGTTTGACAAACAAGCTTTTCCCCCCGCCCTGCCCCACCCCAGGCTTCAGACACATGCTAGAAAGTGCTTTCCTCTAACTCAAGACTGAATTACAGGCCCTACAGCAGCAGCCTGGAAAGCTTGCTTTGCAGAAGAGCACCTTATGTAGGCACAGAGGATGCTGTGGAGGTGGAAGTGAGCATGCATACACATGAGACAACTGCAGAACACCGTAGTTCTGCATTCAGTAAAGGCAATAATGGATGTAGCCTATAACAATTCATGTGCTTGTAACAAGCGCCTTTGGAGGCCACATGCAAAGGCTTTGTGTGCTCGTCACAGGTCCTGTGGTTCACACTGTGGGAACCTTTACTTCCCTGTGAACAGAAAAGGAATTAATTTGAGCTTTTAAGGTAAGACAGCTGAGCTAGGAGAAGCTGATTTTTATGGCTGTTGAAAAGGAACTAATTTCTTTCACTTGCAGAGAAATATCGTTACCCAATATGAATTATTATTGTCATCTAAGGTTTCTTTGCTTGTATCAAACCTCGGTTTACCTTTCTCCTACGTGCACCTTTGGAGGGAGCTGTCTCTGGCAGTTACTCTTCTGTGGAAGATGGAGTTTATCAGCTAAAGTGCTAACTGTATTAGCTCTACATATCACCTGATATGATTGGATTTTGGTGAGTTTATTAAATTGCAAAGGGTGTGTGCTTTAGATTAATAAATGGAATCTCAAGAAACCAGGATCAAATCAGAAAGGCTCCCTGTGTGCCTATAACTGTGATTAGATCTCACTGAAATGGAGAGGTTTCTCAAAAGGATTTACAGGAACTGCCTCATTGACTGAGTGGCCTGGCTCTTACAGTCTGGCTCCTTACACATTCTTGATTTCAGAAAGACTGAATTAAAATGAAACTGCTTGGAGAACCTAATGTTTCTGTAATGAAAATAACCTATTTCTCTCATAGTGCGATATTTATAGCTGTTTTCCCTTGCTTTTTTGATCTCTGCAGATTGAAAGCCACTGGGAGGAAGAAGTTGCCCTTCCTTCTACTCTAGAAGACATGATTTCCAGGAAATCTGGAAATTTTGGCGATCTCTTCTCTGTCTATTTGTTGTTACTGTGTTTATCTGGTATCATATTTAAAACATCCTGTCTATATCTATACTGTGGTAAAAAGCATAGTAGTAGAAAAAACATAGGCAGTGCATTTTATGGAAAGTCCCTGTTAGAGCTGAAAGAAAGAACAGTAATTTCTACAATAGATAAAGTAACTAATAGAGGGAGAAGCCTCTGAAGGGAGAGACAAAAAAAAAGACCAATGGTGTCTAAATTAGGCTGCTAACAACCTATCTGACTCACAAACAAGTGTTCAAGTACAGAATATTCCAGTTACACTTCAGTTCAGGCCTTAAAAGATATTATTATCCGTGTCTTCAAATAGTCCAAACTCACTCCAATGTAACTAGGGGTAGCTTTGTAGCTATCAAACATTGTTTCTTTCAAACACTGAGAATGTTTGTAGCTTTGAGTATACTGAATACTGAGTATGCCTTACAGATTCTCTTGAGCAAACTCAAACGTTGTTTGAAAGGAATCTGAGATCAGGCATTTCTATTAACTGTTAAGTTATTCTTCATGATATTGTATTTCTGATGTTGCAATTTGCTCTTATTTCCCATTGTGGGTGGTTGCATTTCACCCTTAGCTTAGTAAAAAATCCATATAGATTGTGATCAAAACTGAAGGGAGAAAAAAAGCCTATGCAGCCTATTTGTCTGCTTTGCATATTAAAGGATGCACACACAGCATTTAAAGTTCCAGGAAGTGTCACTATGTCACATCATTGTATGTCGCAAATGTATCCATTTTGAGCATTGCCTTGTGTGTCTCCCTTTGCATATGCTTTTAAAAAAATGTGTAGACCTACATTTTGTAAACCACTTGATGTAAATAAAAATACTTAGACCTGATGTTACAAGCTGGATGCTTCTGGACTCCTTTTGTCCTGAACTTTATGCCTTTATTTATGCCTTAGCAGCAGTATATTGCATTAAAACATAAATACACTGGATCTTACACTAATGAGTAAAGCAGACAAGCAGTTAGCTTCTCAAAATGATGCCAGATTCTGAGACAATCTTAGAAAATATTAAGAATGTATCTTTTAACATTAGTCATCTTAAAACATTTCTTTGCTGTCACAGGTTTATAGTGGGGAATGGAAAAGTGCACTACCTCCCATATTGCCTTCCTTGCCCAGAAATCTTGTAAATATCCAATTTTATATGTCATGAGTAACACAGATCATTATTACAGGAGCTGTACTTCAATGACAGTGTGAGTCGTTACTAACAAGTAGTCACTTGTTCTTTATTTTATACAATGATGAATCTGTAATTAGTCACTCTCTTAAAACAAAGTGCTAATAAAGCAACCTTACCTTTTCTGCTGTAGCCTGCTTGCCCTTCAGGACAGCTCTATATTTGTACTGCATGAGTGAGGCCTTGTTTGTTGTGGGTCACAGAGACCATGACTAACAGGTTGCCATTGGCTTTGTTATCAGGTGTAATCACACACGTGGACATGTACACATGGGATCTCACTGTGCTTCGAGATGTGGATCAAATATCCCAGCTTGCTCGATGGAGGAAGTTAAGTCAGAGAGGTGAAATGGACATGAGACAGAGTTAGAAATAACCCTGATCGTGCTCTTCTTCATGCAATGATCTGTGCTTTCCACTCACTTTGTGACTGTACTTGTGTTATGGCAGCACTTGAGGTGTGGACCAGAAGCCTGCTCTGAACACAATGAAAGGGTAGCTGCCTCTCCAGAAGCCTTACAGTTTAAGGGGTCAGTGTGGTTGTGTGATGAAAACTAATGTACAGTTAATGGACTTAGCTATCTCAGAGCTGCATGAAGCAGAATTTACACCATGGAGGAGCAGGGTGCATGGCCAAAGTGACTTCACTGCCTTATCGGACCATAGCTGTAACGTGATAAGCCACGACTTTTCCTACCCTTTATTATGACCTACTGATCTTGTAAAAACAAATCAAAATAATGCAAATAGAATATATGATGTCTTATAGAGGCCCTTATGATTATTTCAAGCCATTAAAAACATTGTGTCTAGTAAGGTGCTTGTTTCTTCGAATGCTGTTTAAAGTGTGATGTATTTCAGGTAGTTCAACCCTCTGGGTGAACAGGAACAGTTATGCAGGGAATGGAGCACATACATGCCCACCAGTACTGGCAGTCCCCAAGAAGCATTTGCTTCCCTAGATTTTGACCCCTAAACTCTGATTTACCCACAGTCTTGGAGAGCTGCCGGCATTTCTCTGTCCCTGTTCTGTCGCGTGCTCTGTTTCAAAACTGTTACTCCTCTGACAGCCCTTGAAGGTGCATACGGGCCATATCTCACTCTCTGGACCAGGCAGAGCAGTATGCATAGCAACTGGAGCGAGGACTTGGACGGCAGCCAGTACAGCAGCAGGTCCTGAAGCAGAACCTGGTTCATATTTTAGGAAAAGCATTACATTCCCTTTCTTCTTCCACCGCATCATGCAGCTCCATGAAACTCCAATATACAGAAGAGAAGCTTTTAATCCAGCTTTTTCCCCAGTAAGTACTGGCTTTTTATTTCCTGACCTTTAAACAGCTGTTCCTTTTTTCCAGGCATATTAATGTATTATTCAGTGGATATTTATTCCTTTTTACAGATTATTTTATCAGCAGCCAAGAGCGTTGGCTCCAAAGTAAGTTTCTTTGTTTGAACTTTGCTGTTTGTTTCTGCTGACTTTGGTTTGGGTACTCTGTGGCACTCACAGTTTTAAAGTCCTGGTACACACTGGAAAAGTACCTTGTTCCAAGAGAAATCTAACCACATGGGTACATCTACAACTGTCTACGCTGCTATAAGAATGAGTTTACTCTCTGTATACTTGTTAACATACCTACTGTAAACTCTCAATTAATACATTAGCACACACACCCAGCCTGTCTACACGGTTGCTGCCAGGAACTCTTTTTGAGATGGGAGATATATAATAACTGGAAGACAGTGAGAAATACCTTCTGGAACTGTGTTGGAGCTGTAACCAGTTGTGGGAGAGCTTTGAATTTGTTTCAGGGCAAAATCAAGCAGGTGCCTTGTATGACCTTCAGCAATGGTCTCAGCTCACCTGCTGGATCTTATGCCAGAATAGAGTGCAGGCACTCACACAGACAAGTCTCTATGAGAAACAGTCAAACCAGTGAGTTTAAACAGACATGGAAGGTTTCAGGCAGCAGCAACTAAGAAGTGACTTAGGTACATGCTCCTTGTCAGCTCATGTTTTTTAGTAGTCTCCTTCAGTCCAGATCCTATGACCTGACTCTTATCGCTAGCAGTTCACCTTCAGCAACCACCATTCTTTCACGTGTCAATAAACACACCCTGTAGGTACTTATCCTTTTTTTTCCCCCCTGCTATTATTTCAACAGGACGTGCTAGTCTGAGTAATTCTTTCTTCCATATTGGAATAAATTAATGTGTGAAATCAGCTAGTATATTTTGGACTAAATGAGAAGAGAATCATGTAGCTTTTAGTGCTCTGTCTTCTGAAGGGAGTTCACTACCACGCACTGAGAGGATGCATACCATGGAAATGAGTCATTGGGAAACCCAGTGCAGCCCTTTAAAATGAAATGAAAAAAAGCCCTGCTTAGAGAAGCAAACTTGCAGATTTCCTTCCCTCTCTCTTTCTCTCTCTCTCCTCCTCCAAAAAAGGATAATTAACCCAGAAAGAGAACAGCTCGGTTAGTACATTTTCTACAGACCAAATTCTTCTTCCTGTATAATTTAATCTTTTAATCATATGCATTACTATAGGAGGGAGTGAAATTGTTATTCTCATATCCACTCAGACTGAAAGTATTAGATGTGGGTTGAAAGTGTTCTGCTGCCTCAGCCACCAAACTGTTCCCCACAGGTCCCTTGGTTTGATTCTTGTGCTCTTATTGCCTTGGGAACACATCAGATACAAGACTGCTTCAGCCTCCAAGTGTGGCCCTGTGCTGCACATGACAAATTTCATTAACAGAGTGCTACAGATCATGGTCTGGGGCGAATGGGAGTGGGCTAGGGTAAATTACATCTTGTTTTAAAATCAAAATGACATCTTGTTTTAAAATCAAAAAGGTAAGAAAGAAACCCTGAAAGCAAAGAAAGCTGAAATACCATTGCATAGCTATACAGGGCATAATCAGACTCTGCTGCATGTATATTCAGTATTTCCACTACCCACACAGGAGATTAAGGATTTTCTATACCTTTGTTACACTTCTAAAGAGTGGCTCATATACAGAATTTTAAATTATATCTGAATGTGTTAAAGCTATATATAAATACTGGAAAAATAAACTGTCATGCCCCAAGCTGTGTTTTAATAATACAGCAATGGGGTATATCTTTAAAGTAATTTTTGTATTATTTCATATTATTACTTGTGACCCTGGGTGATACAGTAGCAGCCATACATCCTGGCTATTTTAATGTCCCTCAAAGCCAGTTCCCTTATGAGAGGAGGAGCTCTTCAGCAGCCTGCATCCCTGATGGAGAAGGGGACTTCTACTACGGAAGAGCTGTGTTTGGAGGGCTGGTCAAGAAAGTCTGTGAGTTCACCAAGACTTGCCACATGAACATCCTGACAGACAAAGCCAATGGGATCATGGCAGCTTGGCAGGAAGAAAGTCATCTCAACAGGCTCTTCCTCTCCCACAAACCCTCCAAGGTACTTTCTCCAGAGTATTTATGGGATGACAGGAAGCCAAAGCCCCCTGAAATTCACCTCATGCATTTTCCCACAGTTGATAAGAACTACAAAGAGATATGAGATTGATCATCTGATCCCTGCAGAGATGTCCTCCGCACAATCAAACCCACTGAATATTAGCTCCCACAGAATGTGCCCCACTGTTAATTTTTGTTCCCATTGTGAACAAACTGAGACAGGAACATGTGGATAGTTTCTCTGGAGAACTGGAGTCTTAATGTGTTTCAGAAGCAGCAGCCGAAGTGGAGGTGAGAATGAAAAGGTTTCTAGGTTCCTAGTCTTTGTGAATACGAGCATCCAGCTTGGGGCTGCAGCACACAAAAAGGCATCCAAAAGGCCAGTTATGAAATGCAAGGCTGTCCTCTACAGCAAGGCTGCAGATGCTTTTGCCTAGGTGTTTTTCTGGGGCCTAACAGAAACTTAGCAAGATCAAAATGGTATTTGACATTCCTGTGGAGAAGGAGAAGACCCGGAGATTTAGTGAAGACTTTCACACTTAAAAAAAAAAAAAAAAAAGAACTCTGCAGGGCAATAAATTTTCATGCATTGTGCTTTAAGCTCAGACCCTTTGTCAGGATCAGGAGGAAACCTATGCTTGGAGGAAGTTATCCCTGATTAGTGTGCAGAAGGATTTCTTGGACCTTCTCAGCAGAGAGCTGGTGCCAGCCATTGCCAATGAGAACCCTGGTCTGACAGGACAAATAGTGTGAACTCAGATAGCAGTTATCTCCCACATTCCAATCTGTGTTTTCAAGACCCGAGTTTGACAGAACTGACACAGCTCAGACCCAGACTGAACTTCTTTGGGTTTATTCAATCACAGATGTGCTCTGAAGCTTTTCCCTGGTTCATATGTCTCTGCAGATCATGTAATCTTTTCCGATACAGAAAATCTGGTATAGAGAGGTTTGTGTTCCTATCCATTGCTTCAGTCCTCTCCAACTTTTCTAAGCTCTGTGAAATAAATTGGCTAGAAGCTGCTGGAACTGACAGTAAGAGCTGATACATTTCCAGCAAACAGAGTGATTTCATTTTATAATGAAATGCTCTAGTGAAACTGAGTTCAGTCTAGAGCTGGAAGTAGGCTGGGGTTAACATTTTATTTGTAAGAGTGTGATGAAAAGCTGAACTGGGCATTTTGCAGCCTTTAAAGCCTGACAGCTCACTCGGGTGAACAGGCAGAGGGGGTCCAAATACAGGAGAGCAGTCACAGCTTGCCAATGACGACTGTGTAATTGTCAACAGAGGTCACAGCACGGAGGTTCATGTGCCGCCTTGCTTGCTGCAGCAAGTCTGCTATGAACATCATCTCCTTTACTTCCCCAGGCATGCTGCCGAAGGGCTCTGTGAGTCTGTGCCCGGCTGGTTTAATGTGAGGAGCAGGGAGAGAGACCACAGGGAGCAGCAGAGAATGGCTGAGCCGAGCACTGCTGCCGTGCTGTACGGTGTGGAGAGGAGAAGCAGGGGTGAAAGGGCTAAGCTGACTGTTTCTAAGGGAACACATTTTTTAAAAAAAGAAAATAAAAAAAAAAAGAAAAAAAGCTCATTTGGCAGAGAGAGAGAAAATGGGGAAGAGGGGCCTGACTGTTTGACTGTTCTTGCTTCTCTTCACATAAGAAAATTGCTGTATGGCCGTGTATCAAGTACTCGGAGCTTTAGGGCCCCGCTGCTGAGTGCAGATGACTTAATGAGCCATTTCAGTCCTGTGTGAGCAGGCTGAAAATGGCACTTGCCAGCGTCATTGTAGGCATTTCCTCTTCCAGAAGACTAATTAGAAAAGCTTTCAAGGTACCCATAATATAGATAAGGTACACAAAATACCTCCAGCATCAAACCCCTAATTGTCAGCTGGGTCTGTTGATTCATGCAGTGAAGGGTCTACCCTACTGTATTTTCTCCAGACTTTTCTTACTGCTGTGGTGCTGAAGGAAGACACCCCTCTACATAACTAAACCACAACTGAATCCTCTGTAAAGATGTCTATGTTTGGTAACCAGGAACATCATCTAAGCCAAAAGGGTAAAGAAAGATCCTTATCCAAATATTTCCAAAAAGATATATTCCCACCAAACCCAGGATTAATACTGTATATTTCTTATTTGTAAAACAGTTGCATCTGAAGGCCATGACTGAAACTAGGGTCTCATTAAGGCAGATGCATATGGATTCTTTTACAAGCCAGAAGGAACTGTCTAGTCTGATCTGCACAGGACAAGCCAGATAATTTTATCTCCTGATGTCAGTATCAAGCTCCCAATACATGGCTGGGCTTGGCTAGATCTCTTAGGAAAGCATTCAGATCCAATAAAAACATGAAGTGCTGCAGCAGCCATGAATCCATAGATCTGCAGTACATGTTCTGAAAAACTTGTGAAAGGCTTGATCTCCAGCTCTGCTTCCTACCCACCTTGTGGCCAAATCCAGGATCCTGTGATTGACATGGTAATGGCCCGATTTGTGCAGTGCCAAACATGTTTGTCCTCCAGACCCACAGCTTCTCCCCAGGGGAAGGTCTTGTGTCACATGTTATGTGACACAGTTCTGCCCAGCGGGGCTGTGATTTGAAGCAGTACTTAGAAAATCCCTGTGTCTCCAGGGAGCAGAAGAATGTGACTGCAGAAACATGCTCCCCGGTGCAGTCTGGGAGATGCTCCCTGAATCAGCTCATGCCCTCCACTAATCAGCGAAAGCCTGGACCTCTGTTTTCATCTCCTGCTGATGAATACCCTTCCCCCAACACCAGCAGCAAGCTATCCTCTCATGTGGATCATGCCACCTGAGACTTGTTGGTGTGTGGGAGCTTCACAAGGACCTACTTTCTGATCCGAATTCCCCACTGACATCCTTACTCAGTGGGGAAACTGAGGCACGGGTAGCAAGGCAGCAGATTGGCACTCTGGCATGTGGGGTCCTCATTCCATTCACCACAGGCTACAATGTTGTTTCATGTGTCCTCGTGCCAAGGCAATTTGGACGTGGAAACACGCACACATGAAGGGTGAATCACCACATGTAAATAAATCATCAGCCGATTTACACTGCCTGAGGATCTGATCGTGCTTTCAAGGTATTTCTGACTCAAGCCCTGTTTGTCCTTAACCAAGTCTCAGTTCAGTAGCTCATTGCCTTCCCAAGGGCCCCTTGTTCCATCCATTCCTTTCTGCTCGGCTGGAACAGATGCATCATTCATTGTCCATCTAATTTAAGAACCCATCTGACGGGCTTTTTCTTTCCTTGTCCCAGCTAGTGACTTGCATGGTGCATTCATCCCCAAAGGAAAACATCTCAGGAGGCAAGAAACAGAAACTTCCAGCACTGAATATGATCCTAGGTGAGGCCAGACAGTGCTCCCCTCATTCTCCCCACTGATAAGAGAAGAATCATTTCCACTAAGCCAGGCTTACACCCTTTTTCACTCCTATTTGGATTTTCCTTAACCCTCCCACAGGTGCTGTTGTCTGACATTATTGACCAGAAAGGTCATTTTGAACCACTTTGATACACAGCAATAGTCACGAAAGGAGTGGACTAGTCCAGCCTTCTCTCTGTGAGATCTGTAGCTGGGGGGCATGGAAATGAGATGGTCTTTGAGCAGACACAGATGAGGAAGGAGAACATTGGTTATCCATACCTACACAACCCCAGCCTGGGGAACAGCCACGTGCATCTGGCCGGCTTAACGCGGCAAAAGCAGCACGGTGGTGGAGAAGAGCTGGAAGGCTGTGAGCTCCCTGCCAGAATGGCTGGTTTTACTCTCCTGCCCTTTCTCTTACCTGTTTAGCCTGTGGCTTTTCAGGGACTCTTGTTCTGTGTCAGCACAGGGACTAGTCTTGCTCACTCACTAGTGAATATGAGACCCACAGGGTGAGTTCCATTTCAGCAGGGATTTGCTTTAATTTCAAAGGGCAGCTCCAGGCACCAGGGTTACTATTTTCTTCCCTCTGCTCTGCTTCACCTCACTGCCCCAGCAAGTTCCCGTGGGATCCTCAGGGGTGAAACATGCAGAGAGCAACAGCTGCTCCCCAGGTGGAGTGACAGGGACAGTGATGGGCACTTCAGGGACAGCAGGAACTGGAGATGGAATTTACAGGAGTGGGTTGTGCCTGACTCACGCTAAATCCCCAATCCTGCAGTTCTGCTCCAGATGCAGGTCTGCACAATCAAATAATTTAGGAAAGCGTTGTTAGCAAAATGCATCAAAGTGACTTTTAAATGTCTGCCTACCCACCCGACTCCCTCCTTTCTCTAAGTGTAACGCTGTACTGACTTGACTTTTCTTGGGCTATATTTAGATTAAACATAGATCCACCAAATGTTGCTGTTTCATGTAAAACTAGTATAAAGCTATATGAATAGAAAGGCAGTTTTAACGAGAAATCTCTGCTGCTTATTTGCCCACCTCATCCCCTCTGCCCTCCTCGCTGAACCTTTAGCTAATTTAAAGCAAGTCAGATGAGTACAAATTACTTTTAAAGTGTTTCATTCTGGGTTTTTTTTTGTTTTGGTTTGGTTTTTTTTTGGGGGGGGGGTGTTGTAGTGAGTTTTTCCAGCAGCAAATTACATCGTTATAGACCTTTTGAAGTATGTGTTTTTCCCACTGTTCAGCAGTGACACTGTTACTATAATTAGAATGATGTCGCTCTGTAGCAGCATCTAGTGCCAGAGCGAGGGCGCTGGCAGCACCTTTTCCTTTCCTGGCTACGCTCCCCATCCAGAGCTGCTGGTTCTGCTGGCCTGGAGCCACGGAGGAGGAGAACGTTCAGATGTGTTGGGCTGTGCCTCGTCACTAATTCCCAGTGTGACCCTGGCAAAGTTGGTTCCTCCCACTCAGTGGCTCCTGGGGCAGGGGGCTGTTAGATGTGGTGGTACTTGTGTGGGTGACAAGCGGTGGCCAGCTCTGCACCCCCGAGCTTTGCACCAATTGGGTGCACTCAGCCATGGAGGGTGACGCATCCTTCTCTCAGCTCCTGCTTCTCCTGACATCACTCTGCGATGACAAATGTCATCGGCCTCATAAATATAAACGATGGGTACCGGAGCCGTTCACATGCAGCCTCTCGGTTTCCAGGGCAACACCACTCGCTCAGC